CGAGGTTTGGGAGCCCCGGTGCGGGCGTCCCCGCGGGAGCGTGGCTGCATATCGCCCGGGGACCCGGGTGAAGGTCGAGGTTGCGGGACCTCCGGGCGGACCGTTCTGGGGCCTCCGTGGTGGGAAATGGAAAAACTTGAGGAAATGGCTGGCAGCTAATGGTCTCCATGAACTGGCTCTCAAAACGGTAGAAGTTCTCGCAGAAACCAAGCCAATTTCCAGTGATTTCCAGCAACTTTGAGAAAGAACGTTGGAAATCCCCATTTCCGACATGCCTGTAGCCGTGTGTAACGGTAACGGTGCGTGTTTGAACCCTGGGCACTATTGCGGCAGTGTTAGAAACGGGTTAAGTTCAACCGGAGATCAGGTAAGGCTTTTCAAAACCATTGCCAAAGAGCAGGACTGCCCTTCTGTGCCAAAGGGCTGTAAAGAAAAAAATAAAGTTCACGTTTGTTCGACAGGACAGGGCGCATTTTTGATACTGTTTGGATGACTGAAATACTGCTAAAATCAGCCTAGTTACTGGCGCGTTTGATGTACCGAGACTTTCACCAGCCCCAAGGAATAGGCTCTGTTTTAATCATCATCTAAATTCATCTGCTACAGAACTGCCCGTGGCTCCACCTTCACCTACGGATTCCATATGAGTGGACTGTTGACTGCTCAAACGCTTAGATTCCATTCTGCTTTTCTCTTTCCTTTTTGCTTTGAGTTGGAGGCAACACGAGTTGAAGGGCTTTGAGGCCCCGATCCTGCAGCGCGGTGCCCCGTGCAGATGCGCATCGCTATCGACGCGGGGCTGTGGTTTGGCAAGGCGGAAAACCCGGCGGCGCGACTCCTGTTACTGGCTCAGAAGTGGGCTGGCCGCACGATGCGGAGCGCGGGCCTGGTATTCATTCACTCGGCCTGCTCAAGTTTTTTTTTTGACAGGTTAACTTTTTACTAGCAGACTTTATGCCGGATCAGGAATCGCTGTGCACGACTCCAGCCAGATCAGGTATCGTCTGCACCCCTGCGGCTGGCATACGGCCAGCGTAAAATTG